TTGCTGCTGCTCTGTTGCTGCTTCGCTGCTGCTCTGCTGCTCTGCTACTGCTGCTCTGCTACTGCTGCTGCTTTGTTTTGCTGCTGCTTTGGTTTGCTGCTGCAGGTGGGTCTGCGCGGTGGAGCTACCGTTAGCTCTTTTCCCTCTACAACTGCTGGTTTGATTTGTTTTTCTTTTTTTAAAAATATTAAATTATTTGATGTCCCTGGCTTCGTATCCAGAAGCTCTGTCGCTCCGCTACTCAACCCCGTCAGCTCCTGCTGCTGCTGCTGCTGCTGTTGCTTATGCTGCTGCTGCTTATGCTGCTGCTGCTTATGCTGCTGATGCTTATACTCCTGATGCTGCTGCTGCTGCTTATGCTGCTGCTGCTGCTGTTGCTGAATTGGCAGCGGCATCATCACGTCTTGCTGCTTCGTGCATGTATAGCTGCTGCAGCAGCAGCAGCACTTGCAGCAGCAGCAGCAGCAAGCTGGTTCATTGATTGTTTAGTGTTTGTGTTTGTGTTCGTTGTTAATAGAAGCAGGCTTCTCTTTATTTGTCTGCTTCGCTTCTTTACTGCAACAGCCTTCGGCTTGAGGAAGGAGAAGGCGTATCTCTGGGTTCGTTGGGGTGTATATACACCTCATCTTCTGCTGCTGTTTTTGTTTCTATCATGATTAATAAGCATGTACCTATTAAACTCCTCAGCAAAACCTCAGTCAAGCAGCTCCTGTTGCAGCACCAGCAACTGCAGCAACAGCAGCAGCATCAACAGCAGCAGCAGCAAGAAAAACTACTGCAGCAGCACGAAAACCTACAGCAGCACCAAATACTGCAGCAACAGCAGCAGCAGCAGAAACAACAACAACGGGGCTCAGGAGAAGCCAAGTAAGACAAGTGCTGCTGTCTTTTCTTTGATTATTCCTCGTAGCAAGACAAACAGCTAAATATAATATAATTATTATTTTATCTACTCTGCTCTCCTTCTGCCTCTCTCTTTCTTTTTATTTACATTACTTTATTCGTCTTTGTAATCTCTGATTTAGAGTTATTTACAAGAGTGCAGCATTAAAGGAAAAAGGATACGCACGCAGCAGCAGCAGCAGCAGCAGCAGCAGCAGCAGCAGCAGCAGCGACAGCAACAGCAGCAGCAACTGCAGCAGCAGCACCATAAGCAGCGACAGCAACAACGACAGCAATATATTGAGGTCCTGTTGTACTTAATAAATTGTTTTGCTTCGTTGAGTTGTCTCTGTTTGTTTGTTTCGCGCTGCAGCAGCAAATTGCTTCTATCGCCTGCTGCTGCTGCTGCTGCTGCTGCTGCTGCTCCCCTTTATGACCACCAGACAATCGAAGTAACTCCAAATTGTTATATACAAAATATATATTTATTTATATTTATATTTATATTTAATATTTGTATGTTGATATTCGTTTCTATGTACATTTACATTTATTTATATTTATAATTTTTATCTGCATATATTTGTACGCCTGTTTATATTTTTTATTTTTCTTTATATGCATAAGTATATATATATATATATATATATATATTATATATATGTATATATATATATATATATATGTATTTGCTAGCCTGTGTATGCTTGTATGTATATATACATATAGGTTATATGTATATATAATTATGTATATAATGTATACACATATATAAATAATATTATTACCGTTGTATGCTTGCATTTGTGTATACTAATTATGCATGCACCATGTATTATAACTACCCATATATACATTTTTTTTGCTGCTGCTGCTGCTGCTGCTGCTGTTGCAGGTGAAGGGCCGAGGTTGGAGTGAAGGCGCAGCAGATTTAATAATCGGCGAGTTGGGGTGGCTGACTGTAACGGGGTCAGGGCCTATCAAACTCTCGCTGCTGCTCCCTCATCAGGTATGCTGCTGCTGCTGCTGCTGTTGCTGCTGCTGCTGCTGCTGCTGCTGCTGTTGCTGCTGCTGGACGAATGTTTGTCACTGCGTCGAGGGTTAAGCGTTTGAGGTCTACAGCAAGGTTTGGGGTTTAGAGGGTTTAGGGTTTAGAGGGCTTTAGGGTTTAGGGTTTAGGGTTTAGGGTTTGTGTGACAGGTTCGCTGGGGGCTGCGTGAGGAGAGTCTGCTGCCTCAGCCTTTGCTGCTCTGTCCTACGCAAAACGCCGAAGCCTTCAGGCGCAAGTGCATGCAGCAGCAGCAGCAGCAGCAGAAGCAGCAGAAGCAGAAGTAGCAGCAACAGAAGCGAAGTGCGGTTTGTTGATGTCTATAGTTACGGTTAGCAGCTGTTGCAGCTGCTGCTCCTGCTGCAGCAGCAGCAACGGCAGGAGCAACAGCAGCAGCAGCAGCAGCAGCAACACCAGCAGCAGCAGCAGCAGAACGAACGCGATGTAGAGGGATATCACAATAAGGGTTTAGGGTTTATGAATGCTGTTCAAGAAGGAATACAAACAAACAACGCTGGGGCCTAAACCCTCAACCCCCAAAAGGAGGAGGGTTTAGGGTTTAGGGTTTAGGGTTTGTGCTGCAGCCGCCACCCTTCCCAGAGGATCATGATGCACAGGCTAGACCGTAAACCGTAGGGTTTAGGGTTTAGGGTTTAGCTAAACCCTAAATTAGGGTTTAGGGTTTACAAACATACCTACACCCGAAGGTGCACATGGGTGCAGCAACTTCAGGCGTATACGGAGGTAGACGCAACACAAGAAAGTCTGTCTCACTTATTCCTGCTGCTGCTGCTGCTGCTGCTGCTGCAGCTATTGCTGCAGCTGCTGCTGCTGCAAGTCCTGCTGCCGCTGCTGCTGCTGCAGCTACTGCTGCTGCTCTTGCTGCTGCTGCAGGTGTCTGTACACTGCGATGGAAGTAATATAATGTAACATTACTCAATATATAAACCCTTAGGCAGAGAGGGTGCTGCTGCTGCTGAGATGCTCCTCTGCTGCTGCAGTGCTGCTGCTGCTGCTGAGCTCCTCTGCTGCTGCAGTGCTGCTGCTGCTGTCGAGGTGCTCTGCTGCTGCAGTGCTGCTGCTGCTGTCGAGGTGCTCTGCTGCTGCAGTGCTGCTGCTGCTGTCGAGGTGCTCTGCTACTGCAGTGCTGCTGCTGCTGTCGAGGTGCTCTGCTACTGCAGTGCTGCTGCTGCTGTCGAGATGCTCTGCTGCTGCAGTGCTGCTGCTGCTGAGGGCTTCGGCTGCTACAGTGCTGGTGCTGCCCAGGAAGCCTGCAGCAGAAGAAAATGCTTCTGGTGCTGCAGTGGTTGTGCTGCTGCTGCTCCATTCCTCTGCTTCCTCTTCGACAAGGACACGGCGAGCTGCTGCGGTGCTGCTGCTGCTGCTCTCGAGGTGCTCGGCTGCTGCAGTGCTGCTGCTGCTGCTCTCGAGGTGCTCTGCTGCTGCAGTGCTGCTGCTGCTGCTCTCGAGGTGCTCCGCTGCTACAGTGCTGCTGCTGCTGATGATTTCTGCTTCTAGAGTGCTGCTGCTGCTGATGATTTCTGCTTCTAGAGTGCTGCTGCTGAGATGCTCTTCCGGTGCTGCTGTGGAGGTAGAGCTGCTGCTGCTGCTGCCTTCCTCTTCAACGCCCTGTCCGTTGATTTCTTCTTCATCTTCATCTTCATCTTCATCTTCATCATCTTCATCATCATCATCATCATGTTCTTGTTCTCCTTCATCTACTGCTACTTCCTCGCTGCTGCTGCTGCTGCTGCTGCTGCTGCTGCTGCTGCTGCTGTCTAGGCCATGCTTCTCTTCGTATTGCCTGACTGCTTCCCTCAGCTGCTGCAGCTGCTGCTCCAGTGCTCCGCTGTCTACATATTCTTGCAGCTGGTCCTCAAACTGCATTAAATAGTTTTTATATCTTCTTACGAATGCGCGGAAGGCTAAGATAACTTCTTCTTCGCTTATATCGATATTTCCTAGTTGCTGCTGCAGTTTGTCGAGGGCGCTCTCCTCGTTGCTGCTGCCGCTGCTGTCGATGCTGCTTTCGTCTTCAACGAGAGCAATAGCCACCACCCCGGGAGAAGAAGCTATATCTTCTTCAAATGCCTCTCCCGTGCTGCTGCTGCTGATGCTGCTGCTGCTGCTGATCTCGCCTTCTGCTGCAGGGAGTGTGGATAGCAGAGCCTCTGCAGCAATAGTAGAGAAGGATTCAGGCAGAGAAGCAGGAATAGTGCTGCTGATGCCTCCAAGCCCCGCTTCAGCTAGAGGGCTGACGGTGCTGGTGCTGCTGATGCTGATGATGTTGATGTTGCTGCTGTTGCTGTCGTCTAAGCGCTGCAGCAATCTCAGCAATGCTGCATCTTCCCTCAATCTGCGGTTGCGGTTTCCTCCGAGAAGCCCGAGGAATTGGCGTACTGGAAGTCTGTTGCTGCTGCTGCTGCTGCCGCTGCTGCTGCTGCCGCTGCTGCTGCTGATGCTGCTGTCTTCAATAGGGACGGGGCTTGGAGGTCTGTTTTCTTCGATTGTTTCGTCAACGGTTATGTTGTCCCCTCTGCTGCTGTTGCTTACTTCATTTAGGAGTTCATCACGTGCTGCTGGGGAAAGAGACAGCCAGAAAGTATTTATGCTGGATAAAGCTACAGCAGCAAGCTCGATGGTTGCTGGTTCATCAAGCACTGTATCTGTAACAACAACTTCTTCGTCGCCTATAACGTTGCTGCTGCTGCTGCCGATGTTTCCAGCACCGCCGCTCCCTCCTCCACCGAGGAGAGACCCCCTTAAACCGAAAGGTCTATTTGAGCCAGCTAGCTGGTTGTTGCTGCTTCCTACTGCTGCTGCTGCAGCACCGCTAGTTAAAGCGGTAACGGCAATGAGGGCGCCGAGGCCCTTTATAAGTAGCGGCGCCATCGGAGAGAAGGCAGAGAGAAATAGCTGTACCTTAGCTCAGCATACACCGGAAGCAGGAGGGTTAATAAGCAGAGATAACACAGAGAAACAAACAAATATACAACAACAACAACAAAACAAACCTTCACAGATCTACTTCCACAGCCGAATGATAAAAACAAGAATTATGGTGGCATATACACCTCCGATTACACTCTATTTGCTGCTGCAGCAAACGACTAACCGCTGCCTCTTCAGGGGAGTGACCCGACCGCCGGCTCGCTAGCGTAGAGCTGTTGGCTGTTGGGTGGAATACGGATATAAATAAAGCTTTTTGAATTTTATTTGTTGCTTTTTAATGATTAATTTCCTTTTTCTATCATTATTTTATGAAGAATTCATATTTTACTCCCAATTACCTCCACTCCATTGCATCGACCCTCCGCGCACCGGCGCCGCTCGCATAAACATCGCTAGACGCCTTCACCGCAAATAATAAATGAGAAACTGAAAGTTATATCGTTAAAATTGCCTTAAAATAATTGCTTATTCTTTTTAATCTAATATTTTGCTTTATAATAAGGGGTCATAGCCCTATTAATTCCTTTTTGTATCCAAGATCTCTGCCCATACACCGCGATGCGCCTACAGCGTCGGCCTTCCACTCTATGTAGAAAACGCAGCATAATTTTTTTGTTTTTTTATTTAATTAAATTAATTTGATCAAATTATTTCAAATAAGTGCAGCTCGATGAATGATAGGTGGTGTATATCCACCACCATATCTCCCTCAGTCGGTGACCCTAGTAAAATAATCGAGAAGAAATCTCGCAGAAAACTTCAGGTGTATATACACCTCAGAAAGCAGTGTGTGTAGAGATTCACAAACAAAATAAAAGGAAATGCAGGCTGAATGTTGCTGCTGCTGCTGCTGCACATTTGTTGCCATATTATTACTTCGATATGCCGTACAGCTGACCCTTAGCAGGAACAAAACAGAAAAAGAAGAGCAGCAAACCTTGCAACTCTTAAAAAGCAAACAATAAACCCTAAACCCTCAACCTTAACTCCCTAAACCCTAAACGAAGTATAGCCCGTTGAAGGTGAATTTTTTTGTATACAAGTGGAGGGAGGCAAAGAAAAAGAGTGTAGATGTGTTGATCATAACGAATTAGTAAGTTTCAAAGTATATTATTAAACATAAATAATAATTATATATATTACTAAAGCATCAATATTCAAATAAAAATATATTCTTTTTGCTTATTTATTGGTATATCGACACAGACTTGTTTAAGTTTATTGTGAGTGGGTTTGCGGTGTCTTCTCTTTGCGTATGCATTCATTTCCTGCACTTCTTTCTGATTTATTTTATTTGACTTTGTTTTAAACAGCTCAAATAAATACTCATAAGCCCTTTTATTGAGTTTTCGCTGTCAGCGCAGTGCGGTGTACGTACAGCTGCTTGCAGGGGAGGTCTCCGTTGAATTTCTGTAAATGTTCTGAGCCGCACTACAACAGAACAAATCAAAAAATAGAATTAAATGAAGTACTACACTGAGGCTTGAAGCGGCAACTGAGGTTACTGCAGCACCTGCTGCAGCAGCTGCTGCAGCAGCAATGCAGCAACAGCTGCAGCAGCAAATGGCAACAGCAAATTCAGAGGGGTTCATTAGAATTTATTTTTTTGTTTGTTTTGCCTGATTTCATGAGCTGCTGAAATTTATACGCTGCTTCGTTGCATCTTCTCTTAGTCGATTTGGGTAATAACCATAATTCCTACTTCTCGTGTGATGGGGACAAAGCAAAGTGCCTAGGGTTTAGGGTTGCGGCTTAGGGTCAGGGGCTTAGGGTTTAGAGTTTAAAGTTTAGAGTGTAGGGTTTCGGGTTTAGGGTTTAGAGTTCAGGGTTTTGAATTTAGGCTTTGGGTTAAGGGTTTAGGGTTTTGGATTTTGGGTCTAAAACTTAGTGCTTAGGGTTTAGGGTTTAGGGTTTAGGGTTTAGAGTTTAGATTTTAGGGTTTAGGGTTTAGGGTTTTGGGTCTGGGAATTGTGCTTATTCAGGTCGAGTCTGCTGTTTTTTGTGGGGAGTATGAAAATAGTTTTTAAAGGGATTAAAAGGAAAGAATTAAAACAAAAGCACAAACATTAAAGGTAAAAATATATAAATAATTAAATAAAATAATATCTGCGCCTTAGTGTATTCTAAATTTCAAGCGGTAGCCGACTTGCGCGTACACCCGAACACACGCAGCTACCGAAAAGGTAACATGGCCGAAATCGATAAAAAAAGAATATTAAGAAAAATATAAAAGAAATAATATTTATTTTGTGTTTATTCTATATTCAATAGATGGATAAAAAGAGAAGCTATTTTCATTCATATATCTATATCGGTAGCTCAATGAAGCTACGAACGGCATTTTTGCTTTCCCAGAGGCAAACTCTAAACTCGAACGGGGAAAAAATTGAAATGTTATAATATTATATATATATTATTTATTTAATATTTTAAATAAATTATTTTTTGCTTGAAACGCGACAAAAGTTCCTTGTTCTGCACGCTTCGTTCTGCGCATGGCCTGGTGGTCTGCCTGGGGGGAACAAGGAGGAAACCAGCGGTAAAGAGGGTGAAAATAAGCATTTTTTCGAATTTTTTTGGTTTTTATAGGATTTTTTTTCTTATTTGTATCTACGGGATTCTTTTTTTCCGCAAAATTTTCCTTGAAATTGCAGCAACAGCCCCTGCGGCAACCACCGGTAGTGGTCTTGCAGAGCCGCCTGTTCGCAGCTGCAGCTGCAGCTGCAGTTATCTGCTTCCAAGTGTAAAACAGCAGGAAAACAAAGTAAAGTCAAATAAATTAATTAAAAACAATTTAAAAAATAATTTAAAAAGAAAGGAGTTTCAGGGAGACAGCGGCATTTTCGCTGGGTATCCATTTGCAATAGAGCGAGCGAAAATCGTTCGAAGGATTCTTCTTTCTTTTCTTCTTTTTGTTTATACACTGCATTCAAATCTTTTTATTATTATTATTATTATTAAATTTATATTTATTGGTATTCATTAAGATGGGCGAATATTTCGCTGCACTCGGAGCTGCAGCTAAATATGTGGACGCGTTTGCAGACCCTCTCTTTAGTTCTTCTCCTTTCATTGCTTACTGGGATTTAGACAAGGTAAATAAACAAAAAATAAATAAAAAGAAGAAAATAGTTTATTCGTATATTATTATATGCATGTATCATACTAATATAATCAAGCAGCGATATCTATTGCTGCCTTACATGAACAAATAAAATTAAAAAAATATAATATATTAATTATTATTGACGTCTGCTGTTTAATTGGTTTAATTGCTGCAGTATTCTCCTTAGCAATTATAATAATAAAATATTTTATTTGTTTTCTTGCTCTTCTCTCATAGACACCTTACCTTTTAAAAGATATTTCTTTTTCTCTAAATCAACGAGTTCAACTGAAGTGCTGCTAATAATTTGTATTTCTTCTATTAACATGCTTTATATATAATTATACATATATTGTAATATATTATAAGCGTATAATGCTACATAGACGTAAAAAATATATATATAAATATATATATATATATTATATACATATGTATAGTGCACAGTATATGTTTATAGGTTAGTTTGTATGTTTCCTTCGTCTATTTATTTATTTTGTTTAACGGATTTAAAAATAAACCCCAAATTGTGATATATACATATAATATATATATACATATAATATATATATATATATGTTATATACTATATATATACCTCTGTAAATGCAGATTATATACTTATAATATACCATTCTAATGCTATTATTTATTTATTTATTTGTTTATTTACTTGTTTATATATTTATTTGTTTATTTATTTGTTTTGTTTAGAATGAAGATGTTGCTTTAACTTCAAATTCTTTTCCTTGGGTCTCTCGCCGCTCTTTTCTCATCGCCGGCCTCAGAGCCAGCGTTAGACTGCAAAACAAATTACAAAAACCGCTTAGAGGTAAACTTTGAACAAATAAACAAATAAATAAATAAAAATAAATCAATTAATTATTCAATTAATTAATTAACTAGTTAACTACGTCTTATTAAAGTCAAGAGGAAACAGCACGGGGTCACACATAAAAAATGTATATATATATATATATATACATATATATAT